CCTTTTGTGTTCGCGGACGCCCCCACTGCAGCGGCGACGATGACGCGCGCGCGAGTCGCGACCAATAAGCTAGTGGTGTCCAAAACGGTTGGCCGGCACTGGGTCCGCGACACAGCCACCGGTCGCGTGTTGGCAACCCTCGGGCTCGTTAAGAAAATCTCTTTCCCCATATACTGCAAGCGCACGACTGCGGCACGGTATAATATTATAATAAAATATGCGCAGTCGGCGGGTGCGCGCACAGAGGCTGCTCATGCTGCTGCTGGAAACCGACCGACTGGAACACGCGACCGTGGCGGCGGCGCGGCGTCAACGGCGGCGGTGGATTTGCAGATGCTGCGTGATATCATTGTCTCGTCTCACATGGGTCGTGTCCGTCGTCGCCCGAGCCCGCCAAGTCGTCGCGCAGCCCAACACACACACCCACCCACTGCACACACTGCACACACACAATATATTTGACATTGCTTAATGTTTATTTATGTGTGCAAAGAATGTATAATATTATTATGTTTATAATAATACGACCCGCGTACACGACGACGTTGAGGTAGCTGCAGGAGAATAAAATCGAGAAATTGATTTGTTAGCATATATATCCATTGTCGACGTGTTTCGATATTGCATTCTCGTATAATCCAACAACACAATATCCTAAACTTATTTGACTTTTAAATATTATATGATAATATAATATATTTTAATTTATACGTGGATTACATGCGTGGATAACATTATATTGCCGTGGTGGCATTTTTCGTTGGAGTTAAAGCTGATATTTTTCATTTCAATATACAATTTCATCAAAATTAAAACTTTTCCAATGTTAGTTATAATTCTTAAATTATAATTTTCCATAGGTACTCAATAGAATTATCAAAATATTTAGACAAATGTTAAGTTATTGATTTTAAATTTTAATATCGAAATCTTAAAATCTAATACAATAGATTCCTTGTTAGTTATTATTATAACTTCTCAGAAGCTTAAAAATCTCAAAAATGCACCATTTTATTTTATAGATTTTTGAAGTTAAATATCTCATGAAATCGGATATTTAAACAAAAATAACGATTTTAGTTATTTTGCTACAATTCAAACAATATTAACTAACTTCATATACCTATTTTTCAACACAAAATGACTATAACATATTTTCATATTTCATGATTTTGAGGTAACTATACCTATTTCGTAAAATGTAACTTAAAAATTATTAAAAAGAAAAATTGTGACTATATTTTTAATTTGCTGTAAGGACAACTTATGAAAAATCTTGAACAAAATTGTAATTTTTTTTTACTCTCAAACGACATTTTATCATTCATATAAATTGAAGAAAATACTAAAGGAAATCGAAAATGTTCGATGTTTATAAACAGCAAAGAAAATCCAAAATATTTTTTTGATTTATTAGGTACATGCCTAGAAAATGCTAATATAAATACTGGTACAAAATTCCAGTATCTACAGTTATTCGTTTTTGAATTTGGGACAAAAATCTGGTTTTCCGAAAAAATTCCTGTTATTCATTAATTTTTTTTATGTTTTCCTGATTAATTTATTTAACACATTCATTGCAAATACATTTATCGTTCCGCTCAAAATCTAAAAAGTCGGCTAAAGTCTGAATCACACCATAAATCATAAGATAATTAACTCTCGCATACTCACATATATTTGTCTATAATTATGAATAACTAAATCATCATTTATGAATTAGAGTATCAGACAACAGGGCAGTCGGCGTAGACATAAAATTTAAATCCGTGAACTACTTCCAAAATGACTCCTGCACATGTAATTTTATATTTATAATAATAATTATTGAATCCGTTTAAGCTAACTATAAGGTATAACTGAACTTTTATACAAAAAATCGCGATGATGTATGTAATAGGTAATATACCTATATAAAATATACACTTAGCCAATACGGCAATATAAATATACCTATAAGACTATACTGTTTTCTTTTATTTTTGATTTTGATAAATCTATTTTACTGTACAACACAGCATATCATAACTAAATTTGTTATTAACTATTATAGTACAATAGTATATAATATATATACTGATTTCTGATAATATTTTTTCAAATTATATTAATTTAACAAGATTAAAATAATTAGTAATATAACTTATAAGTAGAAAGTACGTACTGTGTTTATGAGGATGCTACACAGACATTTGTTGTCTCCTTCTACAAGTGCGTAACATAGCAAATTCTGAGGAGATCACATGTACCTCTATTAGTTTAAAAATTAGTGTGAATTTACCTCTTATAAAATTGAAAGGTAAGAATGTAAGATTAGGTATTATCTAGATTCTAGGGCATCTTACATAAGCTTTTTATTATATTTTAACTTTAAAGCGAGTTATGAGTATTTTAAAATGGTACATTTTTTGTACATCTTAAAATATTTATAACTAATTGCTTTAAAATTAAAATATATCAAAAAGCCTATGAGATGCTCAAGATAATATTCTTACCTTTACATTTGAACATTTACATCCTGCAGGAGATAAATTCGCTCTAATTTTTAAACTATCGGAGCTAAACGTGATCTTCTGCAGAGCGTAAAATTTGGTATGTTAAGCATTGTAAGACGGAGACAACAAATGCACCTATTTTGGCATTTTATGTTTTTGCTTTGGCACATAGAATCGAAAAACGTTACGTTACAAAAAAAATTGCAAAATAAAATTTTTCTAATCCAAGATTCGAACTCGATATACGCGCTTATCACACGATAGTTAGGTGATAGATATATGATAGCAAGGACAACAAAGACATAAAATGTGGTACTTCATTGCAGACTCGTATGCAATATGATTTTCCGATAAACGAATACGTCCGTCTTTGACTTTTATAATATGCATTTGAATAAACTGATTTCCTTTCATTAATAATACAAAGAAACATCTAGGTGAGAATCGAGTACCTATGTTCTATAAAACAATTATCGTCGATTTCAAAACTATGCAGGATTATTTTTATTTTTTATTTTACGAGACAGGATTGCAACTTAAAATCTATAAGTCTTTCGTATTATGTTGTAGCGTCCTCTTAAATATAATATAATATACCTAAGTAGTAATGTAATATTGTCAGTATTATGTACGGTAGTCTTAGGAAATTCCTAAGACAGCAAAGAAGACTTGATAAAAATTATTTCAAAATCGTAATTAAATCTGGAATTGGCATATGAGCGTATAACTAATTTGTACATATTTGTCTATATGTACAGAATATATCCTATTTATAGATCCTAAAATTAAATGTTTATTTTACGTCTACATTATATAGGGGGGTCCCTAATATAGATTAGTTATTCATATACTGTAGTGCCGGTTGATATTTTTAAATGTACCTAATTTTTATTAAACTATTGTCTTAAAATATTATTACAACTCGTACTATACCTATTTATAAAAAAAACGGGCAAGTGCGAGTCGGACTCGAGCACGAAGGGTTTCGTACCATCATCAGCTAGAAACATGTTGGCAACACTGCTTATTTTATATATTATAGGATTTTTAGTATTTGTTGTTATAGCGGCAACAGAAATATATAATCTGTGAACATTTCAACTTTCTAACTTTCATGGTTCATGAGATACAGCCTGGTGAGTGGTGACAGACGGACGGAAGGATGGACAGCGGAGCCTTAGTAATAGGATCCCGTTTTACCCTAAAAAGACTAAAGAGTAACATACTCACAGCCAACTGCAGGTGTTTGGTTGTAGGGGTTGGCCATTTAATACATAATAATATAGTGTCTATTAAATTAACAAAGTGACGAACGTGTTAGGTACTCGAATAGTCGGATTGATACCAGTCACGTACATAATGTGTAGGAACCCAAGCGTAGGTAGACACGCCGGTAAACAGATCGAATAAGGTACTTGTAGGAAATATAAAAAAATAATAATAATTACGTATAGGTATAACTGTGTAAGCAATATAAGCCGATAACGCATATCAAAAGGAAGGGGTGAAAGCGGTTTTATATGTGTAGTATAGATGATAATATTATATGGAAATTCGTAAACCGTAAAGGCGTACTTGTATAATATTTATTATAATAAATAGTCGTGTTCAAACATCCCTGCTCACCATAACAATATTATCCCTTCCGGTGTCCGAGAGAATAGTTTAAGAAAATAATAATATGCGTCTTACAATAATAATTAAATAATAACAATAAAATATACTAACAAACCGTCAGACCGTGGCATGTTTGGCCAAGGCGACAAACGGAAATCCTAAGCAAACAACAATATTATCCCCGCAGCCGTATTCATCCGCGGAATATTTGCGTTTCGCCTTTACCCGTTTTAGTCGCGTACACCGTCGTACTGTCGTATTTGCGGTACGATAGGGGGCAACAAGTAATAACAATGATAGTAATGACGATGATAACAATAAATAAACAATAATAACAAGTAAATAACACTACACATGGCCACATGGTGAGGAGAGGTGGTGGTGGCGAGCCGCTCTTCAGATGCGGTGACGGGTCGCGCGACGGTCACGAGCAACAGGTCCCCCACCACATCGGCGGCGGTCTGTCGTCCCGCGATAGCACCTGTACGTGTGCCCGCCCCGTGGCTCGCGCGCGCGTTTGATGTATGCGTGTGGTTGTGCGCGCGTGCATGTGTTGCGAGCGTGTGCGTGTGTGTGCGTGCGCGTGTGCGAGTTGGAACGCGCGCGCGACCGTCTTCATTCCGCTGGTTTTCGGCACGGAAGCGCCAAGTGACGACCGCGTCGCGTCCACTCTTCGGCAGCAGCTCGCACCGACACGCGTCGCCACCCGGTGGTCCTCCGTTTCGTCCGTCCCGTGCACACGCGAGCGCGCGCTCGAGTAGCACTCGCATCACCGACGTTTGCAAACGTTGTGTTCCGCACCGGACGATTTTATTTTCCGTTTAGGTCCTTTATCATCGTCGTTTTTACGTTTTTTTAAGTATCAGTTTTTTGAAGAAAAAAATAACCATGACTTCCGGAGTAGCGGACGACGATCCGCTGCAGTCGCAACGCTCACCTCTGGCCACTGATGTGTGCAGCCAAAAGAAGATAAACGAAAACAATCGACGGGTGAGTTGAACACAATATTATTTAAAATATATACTTACGTTGCTTTATATAAATTAATTCATAAATAAACCGCGATTGTCACAGTGGGTTATCGGTTGTATAGAATATAAATAAAATTACGTAATGTTTTTACCCTGTTACTATATGGGCAATGATTGGACAGAGATCTTACAGTTTTGGTAAGCTTATAGATGTCGGGTGGTGGGTAAGAAGTACTATTACTCTAAACAAATCAAAATAATTCGTGCTTATTTGAAACATTTTTACAATTATTATATTGTATTTTAAATATTTTCAAATGTAAAAAAATGGTTGTACAAGTTGGACATGTTTTTAAATTTTATTTTTTTTTTAAGATAACGAATACAAATATGCGATTCGACTTTAATAAGCCGTGGGGTTGTCAGGATTAAATAAATATTATCAGACATTTGAATAACTGCCAATAAAAGTAATATTAAAGTAGGTACCTAATAAGTAATAATAACCATATAACTACTATAAATAAATAATAATACCTACCAATAACTTTCCGGAGTAACAATAACAATTGCAAATAGAAATAGACTATAGTTCAAAGATTAAACAAGAATTTTATTTTTCAAAACACATTGTTTTTGTTATTAAATTATGTTTTAATGACAATTATAATATTATTTTATTATTTCTACTACTTTTTTATTTTTTCTACTAATTTAAATTTTTTAAAGTTCATATGCTATATTTTACCAGCTTTTTCAGATTAAATCCAATAACGAAAAAAAACCTTCGTTACATAATATTTAAACATTGAAAAGTTCTCACACTCAAAGAAAAACTTAAATGTATCACTGTGTTTTGCTTTATAAATTATATTATAATTTAACAATAAACGTAATTAATTTTGGACGCCAAAAGAACAATTTTAATCTATTTGCTTATTTCTCTTTGTTAAATTATTTTTATTTTTATTTTTATTTGACATAAACAATCTATACAAATTAGCACAATAAGTGTATATGTCGAGAGTGGTAATGTCATGAAAGGTATGAATAAAGTAGTCTGTCAATTTTAAATTCGCGTTTTATATCGATGTTTTTAAAAAAAATTTAGAACGAAAAGTATATATATACAAATACAATTTTATAATTGAAAATTACATAAAATGTAAAAAACAGTTTATTAATATTTTCACTTAAGTGTAATATTTTGTTGCCTAACGGCTAACGGTTAACATATTTACAATTTACTCAACATAATTTTCATTTATATTTAATAACTTTACTTATAAAATTATTTGAGGTTGGCCAGGCTGCCAGAGTGGGATATGTAAATAAGCACTACTAATGTACTATTGTAATAAAAAATATAAGTTCTGATTTCTCAAGTTTCATTTTTTGATACGTAAAAATGAGTTTGGTATAGGCAACTTCTTATGCATAAGTGTCATAATATACATTCAATTTCGGGATGCGGCACTCTTGTAGTTCACAATTAGAACTTAGTTGAAATTTTTTTTAATGTATACAAGAAGGCAGGGATAAACTTATTTTTACTGGATTTTTTTTCTTATCAAACAGGAACAAAGGGATTCAATATATTTTAATCGAATTATATTATATAATTAAACCATGATGTATCAATCTTAACTGTTTAAATAAAGACTTTAGAATTGCTGACTCAATTAATCTGACTATTATTAGAACAAAAATTAACTTAAGGTACCAATTTTTTTTTCGTAGAGCAACAAACCAATCATGGAGAAGAAAAGAAGAGCAAGAATAAATAACTGTTTGAACGAATTAAAGACTTTGATCCTAGATGCAACTAAAAAAGACGTAAGTATAAAAAGCAAAAACAAAAAATTATTAAAATGTATAAACATATTAAATTGTTAATGTAATTTTATTGTATAGCCAGCTAGACATTCGAAATTGGAAAAAGCAGATATATTGGAAATGACTGTAAAACACTTGGAATCCATGCAAAGGCATAATGTAGCTTTATCTGCTGCCACGGAGTCCACAGTAGCCAACAAATTCAAGGCTGGATTTACAGAGTGTACAAACGAAGTAAACCGATTTCCTGGGCTTGAACCTCATGTTCGCAAACGTCTCATGCAGCACTTGAACACATACTTCAATAAAGAAAGTGGTAATAACAGTCCGAAAATTATTTCAACACCTCCAGAAACATCAAATCTGCAATTGCATTTGGACTCTAACCAGAACGCTATACTATTGGGTACCACTGGTTCAGCTTGCGGAGTCCAACTGGTCCCTACAAGACTATCCAACGGTGATATTGCTCTAGTTTTGCCATCTAGACCTACCGAAACATCACCACCGCCACCACCCCTTTCTATGATTGTACCAACACCGCCGTCCACTCAATCTGATTCTTCCGATACTGAGTCGCCTATGCCCGATAGACCTTTATCGTGCTATTCAATGGGCAGTACAGATGATAGTACGGATACATATAGCCAACCAGAACTGCCCCTAGCACTGGTTACCAAACACAGACGAGATGACGAACAGTCAGATCTAGAACAGCCCTGGCGGCCATGGTAGTAATAATTTATTTTCTGGTTCAACGCAGGATACTCTCATTAATTAAGTGTTTTTATTTTTATCTTCAAAACATGTGTATTTTTATTCGCCAACTTACATGGAAATATTTCTTTGTGCCATACATTTTAAATTATAGAAATTTGTTTAAAGTAGAAGTAAAAGGCTGGTAGCGCATAACTATTTAATAAGACAGCTAAAATTTATGTTTTTATATAATATATATATAATAATTTGAAACATCCAATAAACCGTTAAAAATTCTTTTCTAAGGTTTTTTTGAACATTAAATTGTATAACAGTAACTCACACATCAAGTTATTAAAACAAAACAGGGATCGTGCAATTACTATGTTAATTTAATTTCAAAATCAAATATTAAAATTGCCGGGCATTAGTGCAACATAATATGTTATCAGTGTTAACGGTTAATTCTTATCCAATTATCCCACTTGATTAATGCATAAAATTATAATAATTATGTTTTTATATTTTATGTCCAATCGTCTTTACTCACATGATTAAATTATATGGTTTATTTATCAATTGTATTAAAAGTTCATTTAATTTATATTTATTTATATTTAATCATCTTCTTTATACATCAAATACTTAGTTTAAAGCTTTAATAATAAGATGTAAGATATTTATAGAAGTGTGTGGCTTTTGAGTTAAATGGCTTAAAATGTATAAACTATATTTTGTTTTTGTTAAATTATGTATGATTGTAATTTTGTATTATGTATTATAAATCGTAAATTAGGTAAGAAAAAAGGTACATTTACAGCAATAATTGCATTGTCTTCCATTTGATTGTATCTCAATGGGCTTACCTGTTATTTACATGTTACTTTATTTTAATATTGTGTTATTCAATTATATGAAATATATTGTAAGTAATATTACTCAGGTTTAAATAATTCAATAAATTATGTTATTATAAATGATAAAAACATGTATAATTAATAAGATGAAGTATAAACATCTTTTATACATAAATATACGTTGTACGAGCCAGTCGTTTGGACAATCGGGCTCTCCTTTTCCTAACCTTTTTTTATCTAATAATGGATATACCGTTTTGGCGAGTTACGTACTTATAGCTTTTGAGCGTATAAAATAGACTGTTTGGGCGAGTATAGGTAATAGGTACTAAGGTACGTTAGGTACCAATCGAAATTATACATTATAGCGTTGACGCGTTGTGCTTATTGTCATGTTTAATACGGATATGGTAAAATTGCACTTATTTTAGTCGAACTGCACTTGGGTAAAAAACAGGTAGTGGGTGAACTGCACTTGGTCTCAAAAAAGCTACTTCAACAAAAATATCATACATTTGAACTGACAATGATTTTAACTATTGTCGTAGTTAAAAATGATTGTTTTATACATAGTACATACGACATAGATACCGACATAGAATTCGACTATCCCAGTTTAATACAGTGGCGGCTCGTTCCTAGGTGTGCATGTGTGCGCACACCACATAGATTAATATGGATATATTAGTAAAACTGTATATTTTAAATTTAATTCAATATCAATTAAACTGTACTTATTTATAATACAAAATTCAATTTTAAAAACATATTTTGATATTCGCTTAAACATGACAAGAGTTATTATATTCCTAAAATGTAGTCGAAATATGCAATAAATACACATCAACTAACAATTTTGTATTATCATTTTCTAAGACATAAAATAAATTTCCAAATTCAATATAATTTGATCTTTTTGTTTTTAATTTATAGGTAATATATGATAAAATATTTGTTCGAACGTAAAAAAGCTTGAAAATTGAATGGAACCTTACTCATATGATATTTATACAGTAATAAAAAAGTAATAATAAAGAACATACTTTAAAAACCATCGAATTCATCACCAAAGACAACCTTATCAACAAAATATAGTTTCAATATAAATTAAATTGTAAATCTATTTAAACAAATATTGTAATTTACTTTTTTTTTTTTTTTTTTTGTTAAACTATAACAAAAATGTTGGCTATTAACCTTTGTAGTTGAAGCCTGTGAACCTTAAATAAAAAAAAAAAAAAAGTATATTTAAAATACATAGTTACACATTTTTTTATACGTGTCTTAAGTTAAAATATTTACAAAGTTTGTTTGAACCACAAAAATATGTGAATTTTTTTATTTGTTAAGTAATAACACATTCCTAGCCTATGCGGCTATCTACATCTACGGATAGAACAGTGTGGTTTTAATTTTTTTTTTTGCTATGTTAGCAGTTAGCATGATAGTTATTAATACATATGTATACATAAGAAAGTTATTATAGTGGCTTAATGCTAAGCCTTATTTAAACAATTAAGTCGTGAGGGTATAAATTATTTTAATACATTTATCCATTTATGAAACTTGTAAGTTGTAATATTAATAACTATAGGCCTATTTCATATTTGTTTGGATATTTTTGTACACCCCTATGTCAAATTTTTAACCTAAGTATTTCTCAAAACCTAATACCGGATAACTTTAAAATAGCCATAATCACACCAATACACAAAAAAGGTCCAACTACATCATATAGTAACTTCCGGCCAATTTCAGTAATTTCAAATATTGCAAAATATTCGAAAAAATAATAAAAAAGAGGTTACTAGATTTTTTAGAATCAAATAATCTATTCTTTAAGTACCAATTTGGGTTCAGACCAGGTAAGGGAACTGACCAAGCTATAGCCAATGTAACTAAAACTATATATACTGCCTTAGAACAAGGGAAAAAATGCGCTACTATTTATCTCGACTTAACCAAAGCATTTGATACAGTAGATCATAACATACTTTTAAATAAAATGAATAATATCGGAATATCTGGTTCCACTCTTTCTCTTTTTACATCCTATCTTAATAATAGAAAACAAATGGTAAAAATTAATGATTCCATCAGTAACGAGTTGTCAATAAAATGTGGAGTCCCGCAAGGTACAACGTTATCTCCTATTTTATTTAATATCCAACTAAATGATATAAAAACACTTAATTTAAAAAGTCAAGTAATATGCTACGCTGATGATACTGCACTAATTTGCAAATACATGGAACGAAGTTTTTAATAATATTGAGACAGACCTCAAAACCATTGATAACTGGTTAGGTGTTAATAACTTATTTTTAAATTTTGAAAAATCAGCTATTATAATACATTCTCTCACCAAGTCCACTTTACCGAACCTCAATTCAATTAAAATCTACGATAATACATGTCAGATTCATGACCTATGCCACTGCAAATCAATCAATATAGTAAACAATTTCAAATATCTAGGTATTGAAATGTGCTCTGATATGAAGTGGGTAAATCAAATTGCATCTGTCTGCAATAAGTTGAAAAAATTAATTTATATAATAAAACAACTTCGTGATATTCTACCACCTAAAGACATTAGAATATTTTACTTAGCTCTTGTTGAATCGCAAATCACATATGGTTTAATAGGTTGGGGTGGTGCCTATGACAATATTATCTCCCTACTTCAAACCTGTCAAAACACAATTATCAAAGTTGCAATTAAAAAAGACCGTAGATATCCAACCGAAAAAATATTTAAAGAGTTTAATGTATTAAATATTAAAAACCTGTACTTTAAAATAAGCATTTTGTATATAAAAAAACACAATATACTGTTCCTTTTGAACCATGGTGTCAATACTAGGTACGCACTAAATAAATACTCTCAATTTTGGCCAAAAAAAACCGTCTGTCGAAAGGTATTTGATTTCATAGGGACCCAGATTTTCAATTCAATGCCAACTTATTTAGCAAACATATTTATGCCATTGCCACTGTTTAAGAAACATATCACACACTGGTTAATGTATGAATGTGACGTCACTAAATATGATTAAAAATATGCCATTATATTCACACACATATTATCATTCAGAATCTTATGTTACACCTGTTGCTTCCATGTCTATATTTATAATATTAGTATTATTTTTGCCATGAATTATTTTGTACCAATCTACCTATAACTTACTTTATCTGTTTTTGTTTTTGTTTTTACCTTTATTGTATAATTAGGATATTAATTTCAAACACAAATATTGTAGATGTCTGTCAATAAGAATTTTAATGCAAATGTGTACCTAATGTATAGTAGATAACCCTGGGCCTCCACACGAGTATGTCTCAGTGAGGCCCAGTAATCTCATAGATTTAAATTTAAATAAAATAAAAAAAATAAAATAAAATTTTTATGGTTTGAAAGTATTTTTTTTATATTTTATAAGAATAAATAAAATTTAATAAAAAACTTAGTTTAAATTCCTACAAAAAGAAAAAAAATATAGATAATTTTTTTTACTAATATTTCTATTTTAGATTTTTAGAGGAACTCCAGCTAGTGCAATGATGTTTATTTTTTTATCCTGTTAACAAAATTTCTACCAGAAGGAGTGCCTCGATTTCAACAAATAGTATCTTATCTTTTAGCAATTTGGATCAAGATGGTACATTAGAGAGGATATTTTTGTGGGAATTTCCCTCCCCCCCTTGTCATTAGCTGACCGGGTATAGGCTAGTTTTGGGCCTTCATATAATAGCTAATACGTAATATATTTAGGTATTCCTCTATATTCTATATATTATGTACTAATTATTTAGTCATTGTTATCTCTCAAAAATGGGTTATTTATGCCTATGATAGTAACCAGCAACTACTAACCACGGTTATCACGGTAACAATAGTAAGTATAAAATTATGTAAGAAGGCTATTGAGATAAAAATTCAATTGTAATGTATAATAATTGTTAGCAAGTGATTTTTTCAGTCTTATTATGGGCTGTTCAAAACACCCCCCCAACTTCTCAAAAACTAAAATGACGCCACTGAAACCGATGCACCAGCGTGCCACACCAGGCCAACAATTTTATTTTTTGAGTTAAATATATTGTATTCTATATAATATTATACTCAATGATATTATGTTCACTCCTACATGACTTCAATTATACAAAATAACACTTGTCAATAACTGTTGAAGTTTTTTATTTGAAAATAATTAATAGGATCTGATTGTCCAGTGCTGTAATGAAACACAAAATATAACAAGTAACTATAGTTATCTACATTTTTTTGTATATCCATTTAAATTGGCTTTTAATTTTTCAGAGCAATTTATTAAGGGGATTGGAAGCGACGATTTGTCTGTCTTTATCTAACACACGTGCAACATAGGATTATAGACGTGTTCTATTTCCAACGTACCGATTAATCTAATGAAGCAATAAGAATTCTGAAAACAGATTTTAATTTGTCGGCAAGTCTACTTGAGATCGACTTTCCCACATTTTTGATTTTTTGATTTAAACTTCTCCAAAAATTGAAATATGTAAATTTTTTAATTACTATTTTTAATATATCGTTTTTATGATTTTGGTGGAAAATAACAAAAATGTGGGAAAGTCGATCTCAAGTAGACTTGACGAAAAATTCAAATCTGTTTTCAGAATTCTTATCGCTTCACTAGATTAATCGGTACGTTGGAAATAGAACACGTCTATAATCCTATGTTGCACGTGTGTTAGACAAAGACAGAAAATCGCCGCTTCCCAAGCTTTGTTAAGCTTTTCATTTTTAGTGCATTTATAAATCCATGCCCTATTTATAACTTAATCTAACGTTTATTATATATTTATAGGAATCGATTAATAAATCCATGTTCATTCGGCTAGTATTTATACTGATATATTGTATAGCATTTGTACCTATTTACATAATAAATAATAAAAGATAATATTTTATTATTGATGGGTTAGTAATTAGTATAGGCTGATATTATAAGTACAGTTTCATACGTAGGTACAATGTAACGTTCTTAATTCATAAAAGTAAATTTTTTACTTGTTTTTTATTTTATTGTTGTGTGTTGTTTGGTGATTTTGTAATATATTTTATTTTGTTATTGGTTGTTTAAAATGGAAATTAAATGAAAGGGTGATTCCGTGAAAATCAGAGAGACAAGAGTTCGAGCAGTTTAATGATCAACCAAAGTTTTTCATACATTGTGACTCAGTTATAAACTAATTGAAAACAAGTAATGGATACATTATACTCTGTACTTAAGATAAATTACTAAACACATTGAGAATCTATTAAGTTGTTTTCTGAAAAAATTGAAGATGAGTAAGGATGCAACCCATTTTATTAAAACTTTGGTAGGTATATTTAAGTTTTTACATTTTGTGATGACGAAATGGCAAGGACTGATCAAAATATAGATATACCGGGTCGAATAATTGCCCTAGTCACTGACTAAATATAATTTATTTTACTTATGTATTTTATAGGTTGTTTTATTACCTTAGGTTTTACCTGCATTGGTATATAATTTATTTGTAGATAAATATGTAAATCATAAGACAATAGGTAAGTACTAAGAAGATTAAAAAAAAAATTCTAAATAACATGTACAACTAAATATCGTCTATGGCCGATTATCCTGCAAGAAATCTATTATAAAAGTAAAAATAATAATATATACATTATACGTATACACTGTAGCCTGTAGGGATAAATAGGGTCGACGAATTTAAATAGCCATGATATAATTATTTTGTTATTACTTGAACCAGGTATCTATAAGTCAATCCAAATCAATATAGGTACACGAAAGTAACCACAAAATATATTTTCCTTTGATTAGGCACCTACTTAATAAAGACACCTCAAAGTTATGAACTCTTCATTTAAACAATTTTCATAATAATAGAGCTGTATATGTACAAGATTAATCACCGCAAAATATTTGCAGGTACATTGTCATTATGATAAATGTGGTTTGTAAAAGTTACTAAAACAAAATTAATAACCTAGCAACATAAATATTAACGAAAGATCATATTGAAATTATTATTAATTAATACGAGACAACAATTATTATAATATTGTTATAAAAAAAATGCTTAATAATAATAATATTATAAAACCGATGAACTAGTCCTTGTGTCCAATTTTACATGAATCCTTCGATTATACATTCACAACCGTTTACTATTTGCAGATAATATGACAACACGGTGTACGAATGTACGATACTGTTTTGAGTTTTCCCAGTCATTCGGTTTACACCGGACACGCCACACAGATTAGTTTCAAGAAATTGTCGTAGGTCTCCGTAGAGACGTTAACATGATTTCCTCTTACTTTACGTTGTTAATAATTTTGCTTATTATTTTTGTTTACACCGAAAACACGGTTGCTCGGACGAAACCGTATCCAAAGTCTAAGTCATCGATCGGTAAGTTTTTTTATTTAAAAAGAATATAGGTGTTATTAATATGCCGAAAGATTCGTCGTTTAAATTAAAATCCATATAATAGTTTGACGATTGCAGGATATTACTTTACTAGTTTACTAGTATTCTATTATATTTTTGGCACCAATAATATATTAATTTAAAAATATATATTATATTAATAATATATTTATTAAAATATTATAATAAAATTAAAAAAATATATTGTATTAATTATATATTTTAATATTTATTTCAATATATTGAATAGAACTTCAGATCTCTTTTAACTTTAATATTATATAAAAAGTCCATACAAATACTTATTAAAATTGTGAATTTGAGATTAGCTATTCATAAATTATGACATATTAATTATTTTAATATTACATAATACGCATTGAAACGTTGGTAATATGCTATATATATTATAGATATGAATATTCTCCATTTTTATATTAATACAATAATTGTACAACGACCTAACGTATAATAGGTACTTATTTAAACAGTTAAACGGAAGTTAATAACACAAACTTATATTCGAGTGTATATTATTACATTAGATCTATACTGGTATATATAGTTTTATAACGTATACGCCATAATAATATATTATATAATATACCGATATACCTCATACGTAGGTAGGAATCCAAATTCCGATCTTATCACACTGTCATAAAGATATAAGTCTATTATATTCGTACGATACACCTACTTATCTTCATTATATCTTATAAATAACTGTATGTTTTTTTAATCCTGGCATTTTGGAATTATAATTCAATTTTAATATTCTTGAATTTGTTGAGTTTTTTAACGAGTTTGATATTATATTATTTCAAGTGCATAATTTCGCAAGGAAAATATACGCACAAAAGGCTTTATATAAAAACTCCTACACTATTAAACTTAAAATAAAATAATAAACTGGCAAAATAAACTTAATTTTATTAATTTTTAAATGTCAACTTTTATAATATTTTGTACAAAATTAAATATTTAACAAATCTTGTTAGGATAATGTTTTTAGAGATTTTTAGTGCATTTATAATTTTTAAGAGCATATACTATTATATTATGTATTATATGTATAATGTTTTTTTTAAAGTGTATACATCGAAACTCGAGTGATAATGTTTTATTCTAACGTTAAATGACGTTATACTATCTACGTTTTACTAGATATATTTGTGTTTCGGGAATTATCATAGCCTTGTCGGACTCTAGTCGTATATAAGTTCGATATAATAATGTTATACACATATATAATTTTTTTACTAAAAGGACAAGTTTAGATTATTATTTTACTATAAATTAAATAAACCATTTATTATTGTTAAATTATGAATATTGTGTGTAATGTTTCTATTACATACATATTGAATTAATTATTTTTACAATAAGCTATTGAGTTTAAATGTCACATTTGCATTTATATTATATATATATAATAAAGTATAAACCCATTTATGGTGTTCACACTATTGATGAGTTGCATAGTTGGTATGTCGTATGTAGGTACCTAATATACTATTTTATATCTAATCGTTATTTGTCTGGAATTTTAGTTAATTTAAACTATTTACAGTTCTAACTTATAACTTATAAGTATCACATTACAGTGTTTAGGTAATCTATGTCGTAATGTTCACAAATTTATTAAGAGGACGTAGTGTTTTGTCTCCGTCATATCAACGCATAAAATATCAAAATTTACGTTCAGCCGTTCTAAATTGGTGCCACACAGTTTAATAACAGAGCGAATTGACCTATTATCACACTTAAAAGCAAGAAAATTATTTGTGCTTTATCGTGGTTTTTTACAATTATTAAAATTTTAAGCAAGATATGAGGACCTATATGTAAATTATTACAATTATAAATCACATAACTCGCTTAAATTAAAATTATTTTAAATTACCCGTGAAAAAACACGGATAATTTTGTTAAATTTAAGTTTGATAATAGCTGGTCAATTCACTTTATTATTAAATCTTATGACACAAAATTGGAATGGCTGAACACAAATTTTCCATGTGGCACATTCATAAGACGGAGACAAGCAGGCAACACAATATTCGGGTGTGTCGTCCTATTAATACATTCAAACTATCAAGTTTAAAAATTTTACCATTTATATGAAATGGTAATTTTAATTTTTACTCATCTAAATACGTTTATTCCAATATTTCATAATATATTTCGTAGAAAATTGTATAGATTAACCCTAATACCAATAGTTAATACTTAATAATAATTAATAATAATAACAATAAAATATGCACTTCATCAAATTACGCAGAAATATAAAAATGTAGACAAGTTTGTTATAATATATTAGCTACAGTATTGAGTATATATTCGGTATATTGGTGTAAAGGTTAAAAAAAAGTTATGCTGAAAAAATAATTTGCATTTAAGAAAACAACAATTTGTTAGTAGGTAGCACCACTGCTAATAATACGCCGTAGAATATTTTACTTTCATCAGTAAATTTAAATATTTAGCTGTACAATATAGTACCTATACACTGCAGTTCTTTGCACTCGAGACATATACCTATAGTGATCAATGGGTTCCCCTTAATTCCGTTTCCCGTGTGATTATCACATTTTGGCGGCAGCGAGGTCGTCAGAATCAAAGTCTACCCAGTCATTTTCATTTCTTGACACGGTTCTATAATATCGCCTATGATTTTGCACCCATGACTGCATTAGGGGTCAATCGTTACATATCGATTGGCATAAGATTACGACATAGGCATAGGTAGGTAAATACCCACATCGACATTGATGGGCGTTTCGCATCAATTGGTTCTATTTGATTTTCCAGATGATTATTTCGCGGACAAGGGACGACCTCTACAGCAGACACGAGAATACGGTAAGTGCGAATACCTACACCAAAAGACCATTTTTTGGATATTGTATATTTGTATGGTAATTATCAAACATATGTTATAAGATATCTTACTGGACCTGATTGTATAATATTATCTTACAATAATTATGTCAGTCACTACAAATATACAAATTAAAAATGTTGATACGAATTGATATCTACTACAGCAGGTTACGCGACACGCAGGGTCGTTATTAAATAAGTTACACTATACTTAGGTCTTAGACTAGACTTATACGTAGGTACGGTGCACAGTCATTATACGTTTGCACTTTTGTCTCCCTATTTTCTTGTACCTACTTATGTGTAAAATATAATATTATCGTTTACGATTATTAACACATTAATCATAAATGTCTATACTCTATATTGACGCTCATCATTTCAAGCATAGGTATGTTAAAGCAGCAGGCGTGGATCCAGAACATTTTAATAGAGGGTGCTCAAAATTTGGTTATGTCTTTCTATTTTAGATTACTCGTAATTTATAACAGAAATTTATTTTATTGGTGGTTTAGACGAGGGGTGACCGAGCACCCATTGCCCCTATCCCTGAATCCACGCCTGTAATACAGTAAGACAATAAAATGAAATAACATTTTTTTATTATTATTTTTAAAGCTTCAAGTGCATGGTTACTAGTCGGTTTTTACTGTGGGGAGTGAATGGTTGGTTTGGAAAACGTGTATATGGGGCGAGGCAGGATTTGTCATTAAAAACTTCGGGTGGTCACCCATCTGAGAGCTAGCAACGCCGGCCTATTCTTGATCTCGGAACACGTTGGTGACTGCGGCCAACCACCAGGCCCCAAAATATATCTTATATCACTTGCATTAACTATAACTACTTCAAAGATCAATAATATACAACCATCGTAATACACATATAGATGCACAATTTTGGATGAACCGGGGCTTGTCTGACCTGAGGCGTCGGCTCAAAGAGCTAGAGAATCCGATCGTCGGTCGGGCCAAAAACATAGTGTTCTTCTTAGGCGACGGCATGTCCATAGCAACTGTGACCGCAGCTAGAGTACACATGGAACAGTCATCCGGCAGTGCCTTCCCGGACGGTAATGCATCGTTGACGTTTGAAAACTTTCCGTACACCGGATTGGTCAGGGTACGTTACCTATACATTATATTATTTACTATAATATGTATTATTATCCCTTCGTTTGCACCCGATCCCCGCTGGAGGAGTAAAGAGGAGCGAGTATATAGTCGCAGTGTGAATGGTCGATTTTGAGAACACTGGTCACAGACCAAAAAAAGGTTTTCTGGACCTTACATTTTTTTTTCAAATCATCCAGACCCTCTTAACAACTAATTGCTGACCCTAGTTCTAGAGTTTTAGGCTCTAGTGTAGATAGCTAAGGTAAAGTAAAAATAATGAAACAGTGGAAACATTTTAGATCTATACCGCCGAATATATACTAACGGTAACATAGTTATGCGGTATACCTAGTCTTCTTTGAAAGAATAAGTATTAATATATAAAGGATGCCAATATACATTGCACTATCTGCGAACCATTTTTTTGGAGTGGAAAATATTAAATTTCTCACTTTAAAATCATTTAAATGTAAAATAATAGTATAATCAAAAATAAATATGCATCAAGCAAAATAATAAAAAAAACGTCTGGCCAAATGCCCCTGCCCCACCCATCATAAATACGCCACTGGGTAGCATTGTACATGTACAATATATTATATTATACCTACTTATTTATTGTGACAAACTTCTATCTGAGGATTGTTTAATATTATATTTTTGCACCTGTGCATTTCTGTTTTTCCATATATATGTATGTACATATATAAATATACATATAGACGTATTGTGTCGACAAACAAGTGGCCGATTCGGCTTGCTCGTCAACTGCTTACATGACCGGCGTCAAGGCGAATTCAGGCACGGTAGGCGTTTCGGGCGCCGTCCGGGAAAACGATTGCAAAGCGTCGTTAGACTCCAAGAATCAAGTTGACTCGATATTGCGATGGGCCCAGATGGCTGGAAAGTCTACTGGGATCGTCACTACCACGAGGTAAGTCTGAAGTCTCTGAAAATCAATATATTTATCATGTTCTGGATAAGTATAGGTATATACGCGTGCTATATCCCATATGTACTTGATGACGAATAATGAATATACATGTATATAGGTATATAATTGGATTCTGAGAACAGAATCTAAAAGTTATAATTACACAGTATCACCTATAATAGTTAGGTCAAAATCAATACTTGTATAATCTAATACATGGGCCAAATAATGCAGGGTGCAGGAGTCACTTCCTACAGGGAGCTAAAAATATGGCGAATGGAGAAGACATTTACTGTGAAAATGTGTTAAAAACCAATCTTCGAATGATAAACTAAAAATAAAAAAGTCAATAAATAAATAATGATCATAAAAATTAAAGACCTCTACATTTCATCCAATCTGCCTTTTTATTTTTTTTATTTTAACATTTTAAACATCAATTGTTCTTATTGTTCTTTTTTGCAACAGATTGAATAAAAAAACATATAAATCAAAAAAAAAATATATATATAAATTTACAGAAATCAACTAGTATATTTTTTTTTCAATTTAAGCCCTACTGTTTAATTATAGATTGTATTTCTGCGATTTTAAAATAATACTTAAGCTCTCATAAAGTCATGACAAACACTTTCGACGCAAACATAAACACATTTTAATTGAATTAAAATATATTTTATAAATAATTGTATATAATTTTACATCTTTCTTTTTTGATTGAATTTTGTTTTTGCCAAAACAAGACAGACCGGTTTCACAATGTCTAAATTTTAAAATAAAAGAGGGATGAACATTTTTTGATTTAATAACTAGATAAAATACCACCCACTAGGAAAAGAGTACAATTATTAGTAATAATTATAAGGTCTACTTATATACTTGACCGTTATTATTCTAACCAATATAAGGTATACGTATTATTATATTATATTATGTTATATTTATTATATTTATATATTAGTGGTCTATTAATGAGATAATATAATATAAACTCTTTATTATTGACCCATACGAAGATGCATCTATATTATACAAGTTTATTATTTAATAATACTGCAACAATGCAACATAATAGATGGGTAGGTATTATAATAGTATACGCGCGAGACACACACCCCACGTGTACTATACTTATACGAGTTATACCTACTATAATTATTACCAGAAGCTGTCTGATATTGCAATTCCTGGATGTTCAATTACCTCATTTTTGTTTAAGTAGAGAAGTGAAAAAACAGATTAAAACCTGATTTAGGTACCTACTTACATCATTGAAGTATAATATACACTATACAGCCATATGCCCATTTAGGTACTACAAATTACAAATATTAAAACATTTTGCTAGATAATAAGATTTCTTACAACTTAAGTTATACATCCAACGTAGTCATTATAATAATTATTACGTAATTATTACTATCGTTTCTACGTTACTTCATATAATTCTAAAGAAAACACAACCCCAGTCCCCAAGACTTCATTGGTAGTCTGATGACTGATAACTGATAAGTACCTAATGAAATATATTATGAATAAATACCATATAATCAATAATACCATAAATATCAGCTGCTGTTTACCTATAAGGCTATATACTCCTGTTGGATTGACCAAGCATGCTCACTCGGCACCCCCATTTTTCCTTTAATAATTAATTTATTTTAACTGATTTTTTTAATTTTTCAGTAGGTACCTAATATACCTAGTAGTACATCAATATTATGAACATTATTTTTATATACCTAAGTACAAACATAATGTTTTTATACGATTTACGAATTACGATTTTTTTGTGCTCTGTATATACTAAATACCTCTATACTTATTTATTTTTTTTTTAATGAGAAATACCCCTCTTTTCTTGTTAATCGTTAGTAAAATTATTTTTTTGAAAATGTCGATGTATCTTTATCTAAATTTGAACGAGTATGTACCTCGCTAGTTACCACTTACCGAATTAAAAAGGTTGGTTGACATTTTAAAAAAATGAGTTTATATCGTTCACAGTATACTCCTTAAATGGTATAAATAATTTAAATAATTAGAAATATGGTTCTGTATACTTAACGATTCAGAATTTGAGTAAATCCATTATTAAAAGAAAAATGGGGATGAGCATGATTGCGGTGAATCGTTTTTATATAAATATACATATATTATTTGAATGTCGACGTTAAATGTTAATATAACATTGGAATTTAGTTGAGTAAATTATATTCAAAACCTGCAACTTACACTGTAAACATTTTTTCGACCCAGATGGGCGATATTATAGCCTTAATTATAATTATCCTGGTTTAGATTTAATACTCTCCATTCACGTTATTTGTTTTGTCATCCACAGAGTAACGCACGCGTCTCCAGCTGGCGGTTACGCTCATTCGGCTAACAGAGGTTGGGAAAGCAGTGCACCCGACGATTGTTTGGACATAGCTCAACAACTGGTGACTCAATCTCCCGGAATTGAGTTGGATGTAAAAAAAAACTATTTTTTAGTTGGACTTAAGATTTTCTGATACTTCAAATTATAATAATATGTGGTTTTCAGGTAATCCTTGGTGGTGGTCGACAAGAGTTCCTGCCGAAAAATATGAACGGCAATCGAGAAGACGGCCGAGATCTAATCGCCGAATGGAAGGTGCGCATGATGAAGAACCACCGAATATACGAATATGTGAAAAACAAAACGGAACTGTCGGATGTGAATCTAAAAGACGTGGACAAACTGTTGGGTAACTAATGAGTCTACAAGAAGTAAACTGTTACCAATAATATAATAAGGATAATTTAAATTGAATAATAATAATTTAAGGTCTGTTCTCCATGAGTCATATGTCTTATACGGGCACCAAGGAAGTGGAGAGAGACGAGCCATCACTTAGCGAAATGACTATGGCAGCTATCGAGGTGTTGCGGAAGAATGAAAACGGATATGTACTATTCGTCGAGGGCGGCAGAATAGATCATGCGCATCATCAGAATTTGGTAAGCGCATTTGACATTTCACGCGGGTACACGCTACATATGATAATATTTATTGTATATATTCAGGATGATTTCTTAAACATGCTACATTGCTACCTCAGTACCCCCATTTTGCCTTTTTATAGTACATTTATTCAAATTCCGATTTTTATAACTTTTAAGTATATACCTAAAGACTATATTTTCAAATGTCTGATATTTTTTGTATTTTATTTTATATTTTTTATTTTTATATTTTTTTTTATTTTTTATATTTTTTTATATTTTTTGAGTGTCCTGTGGCAATACAAACTTCTATTTTCAATCGAGAACCCCCCTTTTTTACTGAAAATTGTTTAGCGGATGATTTTCTTGAAAATTTTGATGCATCTAAATCAAAATTATAATGGGTACCTAATTTCTGAGATATTAAAATGTTAATACTAAAGATAATAATCCTTAAATATAGTTTTATAAAAATAAAAAATACCTATATGGCTAATTCCTATTGCCTATGTATAATATTAGATGTAGTATTTATTATACTTGGATCATTTTTACAAATCATTTATATTGATAAATCTAATTAATTTTTTCAAATCGTCAAGCCCCTATGTCTACTTAACCCATTGCCTCCCCCCGCAGGTATGTTATTCCAGCGAGAAGACCATACATTACGTCATATATAACATTTTAAAAGGGAAAAAGTCAGACTGGGGTAGATAAGTAATAGAAGGGCAGATTAGATTAAAGATAGATTTAGCCAAATAATCGGAACCTCTTGCCCATATATCCCAATGTGACTGAGAATCGAAAGGAAATTTAGTTAATATACACAGTATTTATAACTCAAGAACTATTCCTTTGAATTTTGATTTAGAATATTTAGATACATCGAAATTCTCAAAAAAAATATCTGCTTAATATGTAAAATGAAAAGGGGGGGGGAGATCTTTTTAAAAAGCTCTAGTTTGTATTGTCACAGAATCATCCTTACCTATGTGGTAGAAAAAATATCAGGTATTCAAAAAAACGATCAAGTGTATTTAAAAATTCCAAAATTCAGAATTTGAATATATGCATAATTTAATCATACAAATATTGAGCATTTTTGAAAAATCACCCTGTAATCGCGGTAAGCCATTATTCTTTAATATCTTTGTGAGCTTTTGTGTATGCTTTATAAAAAATAATTTTTTGGTAGGTAAATTGAACTTAGACGTAAAATACAACACTAATCACTATATAATATACGGTGTATCTACTGTTAGGCACACATGGCGTTAAGCGAAACTATTGCTTTTTCTCGAGCTGTGGACGTAGCCGACACCGTCACCGATCCTGAAGACACGTTGATCGTGGTTACGTCAGACCATTCGCACACGATGACCATAAACGGATATCCATCCAGAGGTGACAAGATCGTCGAGCGTGTGGACCGCGGCGGCGAAAGTTACTCAATTTTAAGTTACGCTAACGGGCCGTCCGCCAAATTCCACAAGTACCAGAAACAGCCGTCCAAGTACGGTAAGTACAAATCTAATTTAGGTGTACCCGTCGCAGCCAATATATATATAAACAATATTGAATATAAAGGTGCCCGTATACTATGCACTTTACCTACCACGAATAACGTATTACATTATGTTTTTCTTTTTTCCTTCGACATTCTCGAACTGTGTAGGTGATAAATTCGATATTTACCCGTCGTTGGTGCCCATGCCCCTGGAAACACACGGCGGTGAAGACGTGGCCGTATGGGCTCGAGGCCCGTGGGCCCATCTGTTCGTCGGGAGCTTCGAACAGAACGTACTGCCTCTGATCATGTCATATGCGTCATGCATAGGTCCCAGCAAAGGAAAGTGCTCAGATAGATAATAATTTAACATTAATTTTGTATTAATTATTAAGTGCAGTATTTCGCATTTTACAATAGTGATTATATATCGTGATTTTGTGTAATATTGCCGTTGCTCGACGCCTCGACGCTCGTTACTGTGATGTTTGTTCATTTTTGTACATATTATTTTGTGCTCATTTTAAGATGACCTTTGTCATTAAAATATTATTTTACGGTTTAACATAATATTTATTAACAAGGTTTAACATAATATTTATTTGTTTTGACCTTGCAATCATTGATCACTTTTACACCACAAAAGTAGGTACCTACTTACTTTTAAGCTCACCTAGCACCGTTCCCAGGAGGGCACACTGGTAGCGGAGCAGGGCGCATCCCAGGATGCTTATTGCTGTGAAATAACTTTTGTTTTTTTTTGCACAATAAACGATGAGGACCGGGGGAGAAGCAATGCCAAAACCAGTCCCTCCCCTGGTTCTCGATAACATGGAAAAAAAAAGGAAAAAGAGGTACCTACTTACAAAATAAAAATAGTAAATTAATTACTAGTAGTAATTGACATTTATGACATACATTGATACATTATAAGAGTTATAAGACTATATATTATGTAGTTATTTTGTTATTATAATCGTCGTCGTCATCAATGTATTAAATATTAAAAAAAATAAAGTTGTGGTTTTTTTTTCGATTTGTGAAAAATATAAAAATACAATTATGAGTTATGACAAATAATTAACTTGTAATTTTTCTTTGAACATTTAAAAAATATAAAAATAATAAATTATCAGTTGGAATATAAAATGATAAGAAAATATTTAGACCACTTTATTTATAAATAATTATATACTTTGAATTTGAATCACATTCCTCTTAATATTAAAAATTGTGCTCTAAAATAATTAGTATTTTCATTTGGTAACTGATGCGGAATAGTTATAACTTATAGACAATATTATATAAATGGTCAGGATATGGACACATGGATAATATTATATATAGCTATACTATACTAGTATGATTATTCTGAATCATCACTTGTAAATTTTTTAAACCATAATGCAGTGTTTATTGAACTATCCATGTCAGCAGCAACAGTGCTTAATGGATGGCAGTCATTGTACATCAGCAGTCTGAAATAAAAATATTTATTAATTCAAACTATAGTAATAACTGATTAATAAAGTAAATTTACCTAGTTGTAACACCATGCTTCTTTAGAAGATGGTAATATGCAAGACCTTGAGATGCAGGTACACGTAAATCTTTTTCACCCAGCAATAGAAGTGTAGGAGCTTGAACTTTATGAACGTTTTTGCACGGCGAACAATCAGCTAATTTCATTAAAACATCTTTGGAATTTGCCAAGCTATCTACTTCAGAGTAATTATAACCACCTTCTGTAATATCCCTGCAAATCAGCAATAATAAGTGATTGCTTTTTTTTTTAATAGTTAAAAGTGTATAGCAGACAAATTTATACATGGGCTTGATAATGAAAATTATTCTTACCAATCTGGTATATCAGAAGTAACAAAAAGCGACAGTAAATCTATACAAGGATTTCTAGTTGATACAGCTTTAAATGTATTCTAAAATAATACAGTTTACATGAAACAAAAAATGTCTGCTATAAATATAACGTACCATTCAGGAATATCAGTTGTCCCAAACATAGTAATCAAATCAGTAACTGGATTCAGAGCACACACTGCTTTAAACTCAGACTGCAATAAATTATATTATTCAAATTTAAAATTATTACCAAAAATGAAATTCTATTACACGGCCGCACGGGAAACATCAAAATAAATATTAATTGTTTCATTAGTGTACAATTTAAATTTACAATCCACTATTAACCCTTCCATTGATATGGACGCATATATGCATCAAACGTAAGTAATTCTGTGGTGCTATGAACACATTAAGTGCCTCATCATTTTAAAAATACACAGTAAATGTTTTAATTAATGTGATAACATGAACATATGGCAAATAATTAGACAAAGACAAAGAAATGGTAAAAAACCTAATATCTATAAAAATATTACTAAAAAAATTAATGAATTCAACAATGAAAGGGTTATGTGTTTCTTGCAGAAATAGTACTCACTGGATACTGTCCACTTAATTGTGTAACCAAAAAACCACCATGTGAACCACCAAATAACACCAATTTCCTATTGGACCACATAGGATTGGATTGAACTGCATTATAAACATCTTTGACATCGGCATCGCCTATGTTACCAAGTAATGATTCAACATAGTCTTTACCTAGGCCTGTCGATCCTCTGTAATTGATAAATAAGACAGCAAAACCTAATAATAACACATCAACAATAAATAACAGCTGTGATTAAAATATCAGAAAATATAATTATAACTTGACATTACCTATTTGAATAAAGAATGCAGCTTGAGCTATAAAAGAGTCTAAAGACGAGCTATGAGGGCCACCATGAGGCCATATAATTAAAGGACAATTACTATTTTTTGGTCCATAGAAAATTGTAGTAGGTTTATCTATAAATTAAATAAAATATTAATTACAGATCTCAGTAATTTAGTTACTTGGATCTTACTGTAAAGATTATAACCATGCTCAACAACAAAGTTGTCACTATTAGGAAGGCAATGAGATGGCGAAATTTCGTTAATGGAAATATTGGTAAAATCATATGCTTCAAATGTAGAAAGAATTTTGATAGCAAATAACTGTCCAGGCTTATTAAGTGATGATTTATAACAAACTAAAACATCATTGCAAACATCTAATACACTAACACTTTCATGAAACGGTTTTGTGATTGGAAGATAATGGATATCTTTAGATTCTGAAAAATAATTAGGGATTCAAAATAATTTTGTTCTGAAAAATAATTAATAAATAGGGTTTCAAAAAAATATTTTTTAACATAAAACTTGTTTATCATTTAATAAAGGAGTACAACTATTACCAGTATCAATAGCAAATGTATGTATCGAACCACCTTGAGGAGTACTTAACACAATAGTCTTGTCATCATTCAGCCAACTTCTACTTGGTATTCCTTGATTATACAGGCCATAGAATGGTAATTGTTCATCGTTAATTTGAAGTATTTTCGTGTCAAAATCAACAACCGTAGTAATCTAAGTTTATAAAAAATAATTATATTAACTTATAATATTAAGTGCAATTTTCATAGATTTAGGAAATAATAAAATTGAATTAAAATAAATAACCTCTTTTGTAGACCAATTACAAGACATCAATTTAAAGCACGAATGATGTGGTCCACCTGCTAAGCGTTCTAACCACACAAGCTTTGTGCCATTCAAATTGAACCTGGGAGTTTTCACAGATAATTGTTCTGAATTGGAATTCAATACATCTAAAATAATAATAAATATAAATATAATTATTCAAATGTAAGTTATGTAATGTGAATGTATACTTCCCTACCATCTATCACTTGTATTATTATTTATTCATAATCGTCAATTGTTTTCTATGCACTATAAGAACTTACAGGTATTTACATGCTTACAGCTAATCAGAATAACTTTTAGTATAGGTAATGTAATTCAATATTTAGTTACTTGACAAAATATATGACAACTGTTAATATATATTGTTATATATTTGTTACCACAGAACTTATTTTTTAGCTTTAATGTAACTAAAGTAATCTTCCAAAAGTATTATTTAGAAATTAGAATACAATTGTTGGCTCACATAATATAAACTAAAAACATTATTAAAAAGATGACAATTGGATTCATCGAAATATGATAACTATAAAACTACAGATTTAGATAGGTATTTTTTTTTTAATATCAACAATATAAACTTACTATATTGGCCACTTAATGTGAGAGAAAATACATGGCTAGGACGATTAGTACAGTAAATTAGACCTAATTTACGAGGTGTTGTTGTATATCCAATTGCCACGACTCCTTTTCCATCAGGTGTCCATGTTGCAGCAGCAGGATTAACATCATTTGGAATATTTGAAAGAACATCTATGGTATCTGTTTTTATATCACATACCACCAAAACTGGAGTAATCTTTCCTACCAACTGTTCACCCCAATCTTGGCTCCAATCATATTCTTTACCCTACATATTCATCAATAATCATTATTATTAAGTATAAATATCTCACACAGTTGTAAAAATGATCAGTAGGTATACCGGCACAGTGTCACTATTATCTACACCGTCTTTATCAGCCGACGCTTTAGATTTTTGTTTATAAAATGGTTCTGACTTTGGGACTTTTTTCTCAGCAATGTAAACAATTTTTGTTTCATCAGGAGACCACTCTAAAGTTCCGAATTCAGCTATAAAATTATAATCAAAATGTTCAAAACATATTAAATTAAATTTATAATAATAAATTATATAAACCCAATAAATGTATTAATTATTAATACTAACCATCAGCATAAATTTTTCCGTGCACATCTAAAGCGCTCAAGTCATAATTTTTCACCAGAGAACAATTAGCCCATACTTCTAAATACTGTTTGATATCCTTTCCAGATTCTATTTCTCTAACGACACAAAAATACTTGGATGATTTTGAGTGCGCGCTTATCAACCTAAATACATATCATTTATTTTTAATTTAGTAGGTTTGTTGTGTATAATGTCATTAGGATTTATGTCTAATTTATTATACTCGTTTGTTATATCAGTTGGTGGTGACGTTAAGGTATAAGTCTTATAATCTGAAAAGACAGTTTGCCGGAACCTGGTTTTAGCTTGCCTCTCCAATACCCTTTGAACCCATACAGAATGAACGTTTACAGAAGCTTTTGAGCAATCAAGTATTCTAGCTGATATTAATGCTGGATATTGAGTAGCTATACGATACGCTGCTACGATTTTATCTAACTGCAATGTTACAAAATGAACAATCATATTATTATTATATAGATTGACTTTTTATACCTAATATTTTAAATTCTTACTTGAGACATTTTTCAAAATAATACTTCAATATTTATTTCTATCTCCTAT